GGGCGTAACCAGAAAAAAATTGTAGGGGGGAATAAGTCGTTGGTCAAAGCCATGGTAGGGGGGGGGGCTAAACTTATTTTTTCACAGGGTTTTATTTTTTCTAGGGGGGGGCAGCCCCCCCTNCGCCCCTACCCCCTATATAAGAAACTAAAATTTTAATTTCCCCTAAGGACTACTTTAAATAGCCCTGCATTTCAATCTCCCCTGTAATATATATACATATATTATAAACTGGCAATGTCTTACCTTTGTTCCATCCTTTTTAAAATGAACAGTGTGCTACACTTAGAGTCTATTTCATTTATCTTTAGCGTCTGTGTTTTTCTTTTTAATGCTGTTCTTTGTGCAGTGAGCATCTAGAAAAACTAAGGCTAATTTAACATTCTTTTGTATTTATTTGGTCTAAGTTTCTTTTTCCTATTCAATTCAAAATCTATTATTCATTGTTTATTATATATCAACATCAATCAAACACGTAGAGTTATGGATAACACTGCGTATTGCATTTCCAAACTATTTTTTCTTTTATTCTGCTGTATTTTATCTCAAGCATCAGGTTTTTATAATATCATTATTTTTTTTCGGCACATACTAATTGGTGTATCTTATCTCTTCCGGAAAAGAGGAAGATTTTCTTTTGTTGTTGTTGTTGTTGTTGTTTTTGTTGTGATTGTTTGGTTGGTATATTTACATGCACTCATACTTTATTTTATTCTGTTAAATTGACGTCATCATCGATCGAATAATAAAGAAAAAAGAAGCTTGAGATATTATCTTTAATGCAATTGCAATCTATTTTAGTTTCAAGTCTTTATAGGAAATGTTCAAATCAACTGAACAAATGTTCTTTTAACGTGGCAAAATGTTTATATTCATCTGACCTTCGCCTTTTGAATTGAAAGTTTTCATAGATTGTATTCTGGATAAAATTCATATTAATTCGTACTGTTGCATACACTTCTATGACAATTAAATCTTTTATAAAAAAATCTCAGAAAGCGGAAGTATTGTTAGCATTCCAATGAGAATAAAAAGTTCGTTCAAGAACTGAGTTTTATATTATCTTTACAAACTTATATATGATAACAGTCATAAGTGTTATGAACACATGTGTGAGGCTAATAGTTATTTTATTCAATGATCTATTATGTAAGCCCGAGGCTCTAACAATGACTCAGCTGTACTATAACATTTCAAATAATATTCTATGACTAATAATTACTGTAGTGTTTTTGATAGTCATTGAATTCAGTTTACTATTGTCAAAAAACAGATAACTGCAAGATCTACATTCATACACGTTATTATCAGGCGAAAACATTTGAATAATAATGGTTGGTTTTTTCTTATTGATTTTTTAAGAAAATTAATAAAATTCCATAGATTTCGTTGTTATTATTATAAATAATCATGTGCATTCACTTGGAACACATAGTTAAAAATCAAAATCGATAGTAAAAATGTCAAAATTCAACAGAAAGCAGACTATTCAGGGATCATGTTGACGACAAGCTTTCGAAATATTATATTATATCGTTAAGTCTGAAAATTTGATCCTTGTATACGTCTTTAAGATAATATTATTCAAAAAAGAATTACTACAATGTTAACGATATGTTAATACTTTACGATGAGCTTTATTAATGTCAAGGAACTATTTCCCATTTTAATCATACAGAGAGAGAGAGAGAGAGAGAGAGAGAGTTATGTCAAACTGGGTTTTTAAAATCGATGAGAGAGAAATGAAAATATTTTGTCGCACAAAAATTTTTGAAATTAAACATAGTCGATCGATTAGTCGTGATTAAAGCAAACAGTAAGACAAAATAAGCAATCCAACTGAATAGAAGGATTTTCCTAGACCACTTCTGTTTCCGGTTGATTAATGAGAAGAAATAATTATTGCGTAATTTAAATAGACAGTTGGAACGCTCCAGAATATTGTCCTCAAATTGAAAGAACATCAAAGTTCAATTTAATTTCATAAGAAATTATTGAGTTGAAAAAAGAACTAAGATTTAACTGATGATCAATTCAAAATGTTCAAATAAACAATATAATAGTCCTATGAAGGATTTAACATTGATGTCTGTACACAGAAAAGTAAGAATTTAAGTAGAATCAACTTATTTATGTTCATGAGAAGTATAGTAACAGTGTAAACAAAAGTAAATACAACAAATAACCAATTGCATTATTATGTCTGAATCCAGTTCCAATAATAATACTGAACTCAATTAGTTGACAAGCATAAACGTTTAGCTCTTCTGAGTCATCAGACAGATGTAACTTTTACAGATTGACATGCCAATTACAATTTCGATACTCTGATCGCAGATGGTCCATATCTACGTCTTAGTACAATCATGAATACTAAAATATCGCAGTATATATTTCTCTGTCTCTACTTTATGCTGCTGATGAGCATTCTGAATTATCGTTTATCTTTGTTGAAAGTTCAATTCTCCCTATCGTTCTCATCTTTGGAAGTATTTGTCAGAGGTAAGATAGACAAGTGCGTATGTCAATGAAATATATGTAGCTATAGTAATAGAAAGATATTTTGGATTTTATTTTGCAATCTTTCAAAGTAGAAAAGAAGCGAAATTAGATAGTAGTTTTCTTGTATCTTTTGGTTAGAAGGTATTATATAGATAAAACATTCACTTCATTCTTGGATATATCTATGAGTCGTTGCTGTCTCATTGGTGCAATAGGTTTATATCGATATCTTTTTATTATGTAGATCTCAACTGAGCTCATTGTTTCCGTTAAAATCGATTGTCAAGATTTCTATACCAACGAAACTCCTTTAGATCTATATCAAAGGCTAACAAAAGTAAAGAGACTCGAGAAGAATATGAGCATCCTTTTTTCTTTGAAAATGATTTCACTATAAATTCAGTTGTTTAGGTATTATCTGGATAGGCTGAAATAAATTTTCTTCTGAATACTCTCACTGTGCCCAGCGTACAAAGCGATGTATTTACACGAATATAAAAAGAACTAGAAATATAAACGAAAATCTGGGTCAAGAAAAACGTGAAAAGTTGGCAAAATGTGGACTATTATTGCTTCTTAATAGATAATTTGTGTACATTGTGCACTATCAGGTTTTGCTATAGTAAACTTTGCTTTACATGTTGATAAATACTTACCATATATTTCATTGAAGTCACTTTCACGAAGCTTTTTAAGGTGAAAGAAATTGCATTTGTGATCATCACAGAACCTAATTTCTCGCTTTTTTTAGAAGCTGCGAGCAACTATTTTCAGTTAAATGATATATAAAATTCGTTTTTTATGCTTAAAAACCAAGATAGATTAGGCCCGATTGATAATAGAATATAGTTAAACAAATGATGATATATTTGTGAACAAAAGATAAATCTTTCCACCTTTTCCAGGCAACGATTGGTTATGACCTTATAGATCGAATTCTTTGTTGCAATTTACAAAAGGATCAAATCGAAATATCAGCTTGTCTAAAACTTGAAGAGTTCTATCTTATCGAGAAATCATTCTGTAAAGATACGTTCTCAAACATGACTAACATCATCTTCTCAGTTTGTAATCTCTATTGGACTGTAAAAATGAACATTGAGAATTATCGGATTGAAGTTAAATTTCATCTGTTGGCTGTGGTCTGTCTACGTTGCAAATTTCAAGTCGCTCGGAGAAACCATTCTAGAGATAATATGAGAATTAGATGAGAGACGCAGTTGTGCTGAAGTTCAGCAGACCGTGATATTCCATTTTTTTACGAATCTTAACATTTTGTTAGGTACTATGGATAGAGACTGCCTTTGAGACGATGAATTTAAAGCTGAACGGTTTCTCTACTTCTGTAAGTGTAATATAACATTTCACTCTGATAGAAAAGTAGTTGCCACTCAAATAACGATAGGATATTTTAGGTGTTTCCCTCCCTCTCTCTCTCTCTCTCTCTCTCTCTGCAACCAATAGCATCGCCTTGACTGCTTGTTGAAGTTTCAGAAAAATCCATTTGTACACTCGACGAATATGATTTAAAAAACGTCTATGCAGTGACAATCGTTTTTGCACCCTACTGTATATTTGATATACATAATATTATGCAAGAAAAACTCATATGTTGGCTGTACATATGCATGAAAAAGAAGAAAAAAAATTATTCTGCTTTGCGTTTTATTTTAGGCATGCACGTTTTAGTAAAACTTAAATCAAAGAAATTTCCTTTACATTTGTTCTGATAGATGTGTACATTTTTATTTTTGTTGTGTTTGAACAAGAAAATTTTATGAATAAAACAATGAAATTGACGATACTCATGGCAGGGTTATCTTATCTTTGTTTTTCTTGACGTAAATTTTAGTTATAGTACTATGGGATATTTTGCTCTTTGAAATAAAGCACTTATTTGTACTCTGCTTTAGACTTCTGTTAGAAACGCTGATGATACTTATTTTTTTTTGTAGTGGCTTCATATATCTTTTTTAGAGTAAACTATATTTTGAATTGAAAATCTTCATATCGTTCAATCTACCTTATTAATCTATATCTGTTTTAGAAACTAAAATTGAATGTTATTCGTTATTTTTTCCTGAAAATAAGCATTTAAATTCTATGTAATTAAAATTATTAAGAAAAGAAACATTTATCTATATTGAGAAAGCGTTTGTTTCGGAAATATTTCTATTGAACTTATTTTTAGGAGAAAATAAATAAAATCCTCAACTAGCTATTCGTCTATGTATAGTTTTCAATTGGTCCAATCAAACTCTTATTCTTACTAACTGCATAAATGTATCGATAGTTATAAGTGCATTATAAATATCGCCTGTAGAGAAACTACGTCTTTGTATCTCAATTATGTACGCAAAATGAAAATGGCCATCGTTTATAGTTGTTCTCTCATTTGAATTGTGTTATATTTACCTGTATTAGGGAAATCATTAGGTAGTTTTTGAAGAATTCCTTTATTGACTTTTACTAATCTTAATTCATTTGGAATAACTCTAATGACAGATCCATTCGGTATTATTTATGGTGTTGCATTGAGTAAATTAAACAAGTTTATCTGCTCTGCAAAAAAATGAATATCTTTTACGTTTAGTTTGTGGTGGTCTATTTGGATATTTTCGAACTGGAAGTGTTATCTCACTTGTATTTGGTAATTGAATCCAAAAATTTTATTTGCAACTTTATTTCTTATGTTATGAATTTAGGTGTTGTTTTGGGCGTTTGGTCTGTTTATAATGCAATAAATCCTATTCGTCAAAAGCGCATTTCTAATTTAGCTGTAAATAAACGACTAAATTGTTTTCTTTCGTTCGTCATATTTTCGTTCTTTTTAGATTGCAACAGTTCTTGGTGCTATAATGTTATACCGATTTTATATCAGCGGTAAAGTATTTCCAGCACTTATTGTTGTTGGATTATCAGTTGCACAAGCCTATCGCAACTATTCAATGCTGAAATAGGACTTTTGTTGAAGAATAATTTAATTGTTTATTTGTTCTTTGTTTTTTTTACTTCCTACTTCGTTATCGTGAGCCATGTATTCTTTTATGGAAACATCTATGATAATATTGTTTGGTGTCTTTATCGATACACTTGTCATATGTTTATAGATATATTCGTAAAACAAGCAAATATTGTCGTCTTCACATATCGCGTTCTGTTAAATAATTAAACGTGAAACGTATTAACGATATACTATTAACTTTTTCAGTGCAATACAAAAATGAATTTTTTTCTTACTCTTTTCTTCTAGAATGTGCATATCTATGGTAAAATTTTCTTGTTGGTATTATAACAACAGCGTATAGAAATCAAATTTTCTTATTTTGAAAATTTAAAATATTACTATGTCGTTTCCACCACATATGCCAATGATGACTCCTATTCCATTCTTTCCTCCCGTTACTTCTATGATGATGCCACCAAATGTAAATATTTTTTGCATTTTGTAAAATAAAAATAATTTTCTATCGGCTTTTTCTTTCTCAATATTAGATGGCAACACCACCACCTGGAATACCTACAGCACCAAATGGAACTCTCAAATCAGGAGACAATGATAAAGTATGTTTCTTATATATATATATATATTTATTTATTCAATTAATTGTATTGAACTGTAGAAAAACCGTCTTCAACCAACTACAACTGTGTTTGTTGGTAGTATTTCTGATAGAGCGCCAGAAGTTATGATGAAACGAATGCTTCAAGTAAATCATTTTATAAATAAGTTTTTCTTTTATATCATCTTTCTTTCGAATATAGCATTGTGGTAGTGTTGTCAATTGGAAGCGAGTTCAAGGTGCAAATGGAAAACTTCAAGGTAATTCAATTATTAACATTCTACTTAAGCATTAAATAATCATTCTATTTTTTAGCATTTGGATTTTGTGAATATGAAAATCCTGAAAGTACACTTCGTTGTATTCGTCTTCTTAATGGTTGGCAAATACAAGATAAAAAATTAGTCGTAAGTGATTATTAAGTTTTAATTTTCTTCTTTCGATCATCAAAAAAATAGGCGCTTATTACAAGTTGTGTATACACACACATACATTCATATACAGAAACACGTGAGTGCTTTACAGTGTGCACATGCGCATTGTATTAGAACTCCCAATTTTTTCAGTCGAAACGCTTCTACTCGGTTGGGTGTCTTCCTAACTTGATTGATTGGTCTCAAACACGAGTCAGAACAGCAGACAGACATTCACCTGGTAACAATTTATATATTCTTCTGTAAACATCACTGATAAGCGATTTACTTTTTGTATAGAACCATTTTTTTTTATATTTTTCTTAGTGTATATGTCTACAAAATCCAATAAACTTGTTCTACTTCTAATTAAGAGGCAAGACGTTCTATGAAAAGAAATAAAATAAACAAGAGTGAGTGGTGCCTTGTATTGAGAAATCTATGTGTATAAAGGATCTATACACTTAAAGATGATTATGTTTTTTTTTTAAATTATACATATTCTTTAAAATTTAACATGATCAATGAAGCTAACTCGTTTTTTTCTTCTATTTTTGTTTTCATCATGAAGGTCAAAGTCGATGCTAAAACCAAAGCGTTACTTGATGAATATAAAAAAAAGAAACGACATGAATTAGCAAAAAAAGCTGCAAATGATACAACAGCATTCAAATTTATCTACGAAGATGATGAAGATGATAAGAAAAAATCGAACAGTACGGATGCAGATGGAAAGGTAAAATTCGAAAAACAAAATTGAGTACTATTTTTAATTTTGTCTTCTTTTTGTTTTGAAAGAAAAAATCCGGTGAAGAAGGTGAAATTGAAGAAGAAGAAGATGATTATATTGATGATGAAACACGTCGTGAAGATTTTACAATAAAACAATCACTTGAAACAGTTATGCGCGAATATTCACGTGAAATGAATCAACGAGCATTGGAAGCAAAAGAAATGGCAGCTCGTGAAGCGCAAACAACAACACTACCAATACCATCTAATTTATCTATGCCTCCACTACCAATACCTTCGAATTCAACAGTTATGCCTACAGCACCAGATGTATCTTCAGTTAATCCAGCAACACGCCGTACTGATCCAGCTGATCCACTTGATGATGAAGAAGGAAAACGAAATTTAATTTCCAATGAAATACAAATGTTTCGAAATCGTTTCAAAGATGAAGATACAAAAATGCGTAATACTGAAAAAGAACGTAAAGATCGTTATGAACGAGAACGTGCATTACAACGTGAAAAACGTGCAGCTGAAGAAGCAACTTCTAGTGAAAATCATAAATTTGGATCATCACCATCATCACGTGGATCGCCACCTCCATCGTTTTCATCTCGTGATCGTTCTTCACCAAGACGTGAACATAGTAGTAGTACAAGTCGACGTGATCGTTCACCGCCTAGTGATGATCGTTATCGTAATTCATCGTCAAGAAACAATACCAGTAATTCTGTACGTAGTCGCACAAATGATCGACGTAGTTCACCACCATCACGTTATGAGCGTCGTTCACCTGTTCCACCATCGCGTCCATATAGTCGTCGTTCACGAACAAAATCACCTGTGCCAAAAAGTCGTGTTGGGGGTGGTGGTAATAATGAAGAAGATACTGAGGAAGCTTATGAAAGAAGAAAACAAGAAAGTAGATTGCAAGAAAAGGAAGCTCGTTATCGAGCAGTAAGTCAAATCGAATGAACTCATTTTTAGTGTAGAGTTTTAATTTAATTGTCTTTTAGCGATTGAGAGCATGGGAACAACGCGAACGAAAAAGAGGAGCTGTGTATGAAGCTGAGAAACAACGTGAATTAGGTCGTTTACATGATGAAGAAAAAGAAGCCAAACATTTGTTATCGTTTCTCGAAGAGTACAATGATGAAACAGATGATCCAAAATATTACAAGTAAATATTTTCTTTCACTTAGACAACTCAGTCGAATAGTCATATCGTACTGTAATAAAGGTTCAAACCCGCACTAAGGTGATGAATAACCATTAATAATAACTTTCGTTCTTCTGAAAAAAAATGAAGAGAATATTAACCTGATTAGTGCATTCGATTAATTTTTAAATATTCCTAATTAATATTTATAATAAAATCATGGAAAATTTCTATCTACTTCTATTTTAGGGGTACAGCATTAGCCAATCGCTTGAAAGATCGTGAACATGAAATTGAAATTGATAATCGTGATCGACATCGTGAAAAAGATGAAATTGAAGTGCTACGTGTTAAACTACTGCAAGAGAATATTGATGATATTGAATTAGAAATAAAACGACGTTTAGAGAGGGAAGAAGAAAATATTCGTAAACGTTTAGTCGAATTGATCAAAGCGACAAGTGATGAATCTAGTGACGAATCAGAAAATGAAGAAGAAAAAGCGAAGAAAACTTCATCAAAAAATCGAAAAGACGCTATGGATATGTCAAATAATTTATCAACTGATTTAGTTAATTCAAGTAAGAAAATTTATTTTCAATGAATTCTATTTAAACAATAAAATATATGTTTTATTATTTATAGTTACTGATAGTCTAAGTCATTCGTCACGAACAACAAATAAAGTTGAATCTCCACCAAATGGTTTGTTACATTTTATAAATATTTTTGTTTTTGTGTTACTCCCATTATGAAACACAATCGAAAAGAACTGTTGCAGAAACTGATATACATATTTGAACGCTTGAAAAAAGATGACTAAAAACACTTTTTATAGAATATAAACACTATTTGATGAGATTTCTTGAGAATTGAACAAAAAAATGTTGCGATAGTAATCTGTTAGAAAACTTATAGGCTACTATTTCTGTGATTCATGACAGCTTCTACATTGTTTTGTTTTAACTTATAATCTTAACATAATAATTAACTAAAAATTATTTTGTTTAGATATTAAAGTTAGTCCTCGTCATACGTCTGCACTTGGTGGTGCACCGATTACTGGTACGAAACTACCGTCAAAACGAAAATTAGCTGTCAATGAAGTATGTTTTTATTGCATGCATATGATACGACACGAAGTTTTTTTTTTCGTCGATCAGGTGTTTCGTGATGATCAAGATGATGATGGTACGAATGCATTACCGAAAAAATCTAGACTTTTTGCAATAATTGATCAGCCAACAACTGCTCCCCAAATTCCAATAACACAATATTCTCCTAAACATTCTATTCCGCATGTTAAAGAAGAACCGATGCATCGAACATCATCCAAACAGACACCGCCAGCTTCTAATGCTAATAATATTTCAGCACAATCACAAGAAGAAAAAAGACAAGCTGTACGTAAATTAATTGAAAGTATTCCAACGAAAAAAGAAGACTTATTTACATTCGCACTCGATTGGTCACTTCTTGATCCTGTATGTATTTTATTTTTATATTTCTTTGAGTAGATTATAATTTGATTTGTTTGTTTGTTTTATTGAAGAATCTTATGGAAAAACGTATTAAACCATGGGTAACCAAGAAAATTGTTGAATATATTGGTGAAGAAGAACCAACATTAACAGATTTTATATGTACATCCATTATGTCTAAGAAAAGTGCTGACTCTATATTAGCTGATATACGTGTTGTACTTGATGATGAAGCTGAAGTTTTTGTTGTTAAAATGTGGCGTTTAATTGTTTATGAAATTGAAGCTAAACGGCATGGTCTGAGCAAATAAATAATTTGTTTTTCTATTGTATCTTTGTTTCGCTTAGTCTATTTGCTGCTGTTTTTGTTTTCTCTCCGACATTTTTCTTTTGTTCTCGGTGTGTATGTGCGTGTCTGTGTAGATTCTTACACATTTTGTTCTATTTACTGAAAAACAAGAAAGAAAAGAGACTTAGATTTTCGTATGTTTCTGTTATCTTATGTACAAATCAAGACTTATTGCAGCTAAACAAGAAATCGTGCGTGTACGAGTAAACTTTATCTTTCTTCTTTCTCTAAATGAAAAAAAATCAACATTATTATGTAAATGTATGTCTCTTTTTTGTTCTGTTTTTTTTTGTGTCTTCTTGTCTTGTCTTGTCTTGTCTATGATTTGTTAACACATACAACAAACAATGAAGGAAAAAAAGCCGATCTATCGTCATACATAGATAATTTTTATTTTTACATGCTTTTAAAAACATTCTGTAACTAAGAAAAATCGTATGTCAAGAAAGAGTCTTTGATTTCAATCATAATCTATTGAATATGTAAGATAGAATGAATGCGTTTGAAATTCTAACGATTCAATGCTTTACTGACAAACATACTTTATTTCATGTATGCTACAAAACTGTTTTTACTTTAAGCATGTAGCTTTGATTTGATATTTACTATTTAATTTTATAGACATGATCGTCAATTTTGTGATACAAAATTTTCTTACTTTATATTACCAATGTAATGTTTAGTGTTGAAAATAAATTTCACTTCAATTCATTGACAAGAATCACTCTAGACCTTAACTTATTAAAGTCTCACTCGAGTTTTCATATCAAACTTATAGAACTTTCATGTAGAAAATCAAAATTCCGATGAAAGTCATTTTTTCAGGTTAATAAAAAGAATCGTTCCTTGTTGCAAACGATTATTCGATTTTGTTTTATACAAACAAAATAATTATCAAAGTTGAATGAAAATGTTGGTAAAAATTTTCTGATCATTGAATAGAACATAATCTAGTTTCATCATAAAAAATATCAATATCTCAAAGAAGACGAATAACGTTTTTGTAGGATTCATTAACGTAGAACTTCTCTTCAGTAGTATTTGGTCTTTCAATCAATTATCTGGTTGTAATTAGAGGTGGCACTACTTTATCTTTACTTCACCGAGTAAAGTGGATCTACTTTACCCGAATAGTAAAGTAAAGTAAAGTAGTGAAAATTTGAAATTAATTTTTGATTTTTATCTCGTCGTTAGCGCATCGATAACTTCGCAAAAAATAAATCGATACTTAAAATCTTGTTTTTATTGTTAATTTGAGAATAAAAATTGACAAATTTGGAAAATAGATAGTTTGCATGAATATAAACTCGAAGTCTATCTAGGTTCTAAAGTGGTGGCAAACAGTTTAAGAACAACGTATCTTTGATTTTTTTTTCTATAACGCGAAGCATCTAGCTCAAATTAAAATAGCAATTTGATTAGCTAATGAGGTGCTCTATCAAATGCATCATATACCAAGATTTCATAGATGAACTATGATGACCAGGTTTCTATAAAGCCGGACATGCCAATTTTCAAGTCTCAGAAAACTTTGTTGGACGCATTTTTTTAACAGTGTCATCTTAAAGAGCACAGAATGCTGATCAAAATGAACGGTCGCCGTGTTTTCTACGACCTTCCATTGAAAAGTTACAAGCATCGTAAAAGAGAAAAAACAGTAAAATTTATCAGAAAACCACTAAAAATAGCCGAAAAACTGTCTTTTCTCGGTTTTCGTGATACTTGTAACTTTTCAAGAGAAGGTCGTAGAAAACGCGGCGACCGTTCATTTTGATCAGCATTCTGTGCTCTTTAAGATGGCACTGTTAAAAAAAATGCGTCCAACAAAGTTTTCTGAGACTTGAAAATTAGCATTTCCGACTTTATAGAAACCTGGTCATCATAGCTCATCTATGAAATCTTGGTATATGATGCATTTGATAGAGCACCTCATTAGCTAATCAAATTGCTATTTTAATTTGAGCTAGATGCTTCGCGTTATAGAAAAAAAAATCAAAGATACGTTGTTCTTAAACTGTTTGCCACCACTTTATATGTTAGTGAGAATATGTTTTATCGGTATTTTTGAATGAGGCTGAATTGTGGTGGTGGAAAGTGAGCATTAATGAAACTCACTGTACATTTTCATTGTGACCTTCTTAAGTATAAAATATTAAGGTAATATCATAGGCATGAGATTTTCTATAATTTTTAAAAGAGAACTATCTGGAAAGCTCGATCAGTGTACACTAAATAACTATACATCAAGAAGTTCTTAAATCTCCTTGTGTATTTACTTTAACATATGAATAGGTTTACTGATGTAACACCCTAAGACTGACACTAGTACTCGTATACTCAACATAATAATAAAGAACTGGTTAACTATAGAAATAAAGCATATGAGTGAATTGCAACTTTTTGGTACAGTTCATGCGAACAGATGAAAGTGAACCAATACAATTTTTGAGTAGTGCATTTTATTACACTCGATGCCAGTAGTACACAAAAAATTTCCCAACACTTCATCGATTATTAACGGAGATATGCCCCTTTTATAAATGTGTGACTTTTTCTACTTGTGGGCGATTCCATGCCAAAACAACCACACTTTGAAAGTTCAACATTTATATATAGCAGAAATCAGTACATGATCATAAATGGAATGGTCGATGCAGTTGTCACGAAAAATGAAATTTGTTTTTTATCCACCTGAAACATTGGAGAGGAGTATGGCAATTTCGAAAACAAATTTTCATTTTTCTGGAGAACCATGTCGAGGTTTCTATCTAGGCTCATGTCCTAATTCGTGCTAGGTACGATTTTTTGAATAAAAATGGAAGCTAAAGAATAGTGCGCTTTTTTATGTTTGTACTGAATAAATTTTTCGGAAAAACTGTCCACATCGTGAACAATTTCGCTTTTGAGTTAATAATTTTTTTCCCAAATGATACTCTATGATCGCTTCCCACGTAACTACGTCGAAAAAAAAGATTTTTGAATGACTTGTACTGAAAATATTTGCGAAAAGTTGCAATTCTACATACTTCTCTAAGAAGTCATTCTATATTTTCTAGTATACTGTAAATTTCTTCTGAATGGAAGATGATTCAGAGCTGAAAGTTTTATCACTGATAGACCTTACCACTTGATATCTCGAGTAAAAATTTAAGCTGAATCACATGAATCGTTGGCGAGTTATAGAGCAAAAAAATTGTGATTCTACATGCTTTTTACAGTATAATATAAATTTCTCCTGAATGGAAGATGATTCAGAGCTGAAAATTTTTATCTCTGATAGACCTTATCACTTCATATCTTGAATAAAAATTTAAGTTGAATCGAATGCGTCATTGAAGAGTTATAAAGCATTCAATTTTCAAATTGTCATTCTACAAAGTGGGTATAATGACCTTTTCTTTCAGAAAGTCTTCTTATTTTTATCCATAAACAAAGCTGATAACACAGAGTTTTTTCTTACCATTTTTTTACTCAAAGAGTTGTCTTTCTTTTTGTATAATCTCTGAGTCATCGGCTTTATCACTGGTCGAGCTCTAATCACGTTTGTGTCATTCTACCCAAAAATACAAAGTGTCTGCCAAATAATGTGAACGTTGGACGAGCAAGAGAATGAGGTATAGAATTTAAATCCATAATATGCGTGAAGTCGATGACAACGAAGTAAGACTGAGAAATAAAATCGTAAAAGATATCTATTGTGTTCTAAATAGTTCTAAAATGTTACCATAATCAATTCAGCCTATTCACTCGAAACATGTTAAAAAGATTCATATACAAGAGATAATAAAATTCGATGTCTTGCATGAAATAACTTATTTTTACTTCAGAAAATAATGCCAAAAATGAAAAAGGCATAATTTAAATATCAATACTAATATTGTAGCTGATTATAAATTACAGGTTAATCAAATAATTTTCAAAATTTTCTACTTTGTGATGTACGTGTTGGTGCAGCTATATCTACTTTCTTTTACTGTGACTTGTATTGGTAAAGTAAAATGAAATATCATTTCTTCTTTCGTTTATCCTCTTTTACTTAATATTTCAATGTTTTTGACAAAGAAGCTCGAGATTTTCTTTTCTGAAGATGTCAACATTTATTCAGCTACTTCTGTTTGAGCAATCATTTGAGTGCAGATTAAATGTGAAGATTCGTAATCTGTGAAAAGCCATTTGATGCTGAAATATCAATATATATGCACCATTTTATTGTATTCAGCTTTATGTATGTTCTATACTTCGCTATTAATGAAGAAAAGATTTTGAATGATTAGTCATATCGCCAAATATTATCAATTGTTGATCGTAAGCTAAGAAATGAATTATGAGCTTCCCCTGAATATATGACTTTACTTTTTCAAAGTAAAATAAACATAGAGTGCCACCCCTATTTGTAATCAATAAAATTTAAGTAAACATTTTGTTCTTATGAAACTTAATTTCAAGAAAATTCTATTAACTGACATTTTCATTTTTTCACACAAGTATTTCATATCGGTTACTCAGTTCTCTCTCTCTCTCTCTCTTATCTACAGTTGATTGATCAAGAATTTTATTCTAACGAAAGTGGTCTTCGATACAATCAAAGATAGTGGCGATTATTTTTGCCTGGCTTCTGTGTCTGAATTATCTCAAAAAGGAAATAAAATCAATTTCCACAAAAAGCTGTGTTTTTGAATAATGTTCGATTACATGATGGAACATTGCATTGAAAATCAAAGCAAAACAAATGGCATTTATTCAATCATAAAATTGTATCTTCGTGTTTGAACAATTGTTCTCTAACTTTCTACGATCGAAACTATCCTTGCAAAAAATTAGAAAATTGAAATGCTTATATCAAACTTGAAATAAGGGGTAAACAAATTCTCTGACGGCTGCATGAGTAGTGCGCTCCGCATGGAATTCATAACATTTTCAATTGTTTAGTAAAACAAATAGTAGAAGCAGTGAGTAGTTATTTTCTTCATCACTATAAAATAATTTCTGAATACGAAAAGTGTAATAAATACTTTCGTAGCTTTTATTATGTTGTGCTGCTTTTACAGTATATAGTAGTTTATTCAACTTTCAATGCATTACGTAGATTCCTGTAAAAGAACTCCATAGCCTTAGTTTCTAGTAAATATAACACAATAAAGTTCGGATATGGCACCCATTTTTATTATTCTATATTTAAAAACAGATTTTGTCTTTTTTCAGTTCTTTCTCGAAAAAAAAACAACAACAAACGAAAACGTATTTGCTGCACAAACACAATTATTAAATTATAGTAATAAAAGAGAATCGAGCAAACAAAATTACCATTACAAAAAAGTAAGTAGTGAGTTTTTTTCGGCATAAATTTCATGATTATGTGATACGAAATATTTGTTCTTTTTTTGCAAGTTTACTCATTGTCAATCTCATAAAATTCAGAGCTATAAAACATGCTGCTTATTCATTGTTTGATTTTGTTATAATTTTATTCTGTAAAAGTATGGTGCGTAAGAAAAAAACTCTATCGTACTCATTATCATTCAGAATAGATAAGAAACGTCTTTTGCATACAGCTGTCACACTCTCTTGAAGTAGAATAAATAGATACACAGAAAAATAAATATCAATCATTTTAGATAATAATTCAAAACGAAACAATGAGTCATTCCAGTAGCACATCTTCAACACACAGTACAACCGGTCGTGCTCATTACAAGGCAACGAGAACTGTAACAGGTCCTGATGGAAAGACACATACTGAAACGATTGATGTGTATGATGATGATGCTGTTAAGGTGAGTTTATTATATAGTAACATGTAATTATAGTAATCTTTGTTTTTTTTCTTCATATTTTATAATACTAGCTTATGCGAGATTTACGATCCAACCAAGATAATGTACCTGATTTAGATGGATTTGGATTTCGTTCATTGACCAATCCATCAAATTTTTCTCAATTAGATCAACGTATTAATCGAGGAAAACGATCACCAAAATCCACGTCATCTTCTTCGACATCCTCGGCAACAGCTACACCTCACGATTCAACTGTAGGTCAAAATAACAAAGAATTTTTGCAAGATGCATTGGAAATTCATAATAGTCTAAGACTACGTCATGGTGTGGAACCTTTACGTTTAAATGATGATTTATTGAAGTTAGCTCAAACATGGGGTATTTAAATTGATAAAAATCTTTTTCTTTTTCTTTTTCTAATCTGCCATAGATTGAAACTTTTATTTTAGCTGATCATTTAGCATCCACGGGAGCACTTGTTCATAGTAAAACAAAATATCGAAATGTGAATGTTGGTGAAAATCTTCGTTGCCAATCATGGCCAATCACAGGTTTTATTTGCCTATATTATTTGTCTCATTTGAATTTTTCTATTTAGGTAAAGAAATGACAGAAGCATGGTATAATGAATGCACTAAATATGATTATCGTAATCCTTCGTATCAACCAGGAACTGGCCATTTTACACAAGTTGTATGGAAAGGTTCACAAGAAGTCGGCTTTGCACGAGCACAGGGTGCATCAATGATTTTCGCTGTAGCTATGTATTATCCGCCAGGAAATTATGTTGATGATTTCGACAGAAATGTGTTTTCTCCACACTGAAAACTGTAACTCATATTCTTTTTTTTTCAAAATTTTGTATATGATATTATTCATTGTGAGAATTATTTGACAAGCAAATAAATTATAAAGAAAGAAAATAGAGAAAAAAATATCAAATATAAATAGAGTTTCCAAGTATAACGTTCAGGTTGTTGTGTTATATGACGACGTGCTTGCCCGATTTGACCAATGATATAATCAAACATTTTTTGATATTCCTAAATCAAAAGAAACTATATCACTATATCAATGAGAAGTATATGCTTCTATGCAAACCGGTAAATCAGTATTTTGACATGTTATTTCATCACTAATTTTCACTACTATCTCTTTAAGTTCTGCAACTTTTGAATCAAGTTGTTCAGTTCGATGTTTGAGATACAAATCATTTGTATCTCTTGAATACATATTCGGAAATAATACATCGACCATTTTGAACTAATAAAACTGACGAAAGAAACGGAGCGTTGAGAAAAACATCACCGTCAAACTTGCCACGTCATCTTTTTTCATTTTTCCTACTTGATGATTCATTATTACAAAATCATTTTATTACATAAACTCTCTTTTTCAACTTCATATAATAGAGAATAATAACAAAAGGGAAGAAAACGAAAATTTAACCACACGTCTAACAACAAACAGCAGTAGTAATTAATAATAATAATAATAATAAGTAATAGTAGCGATAATTGCCGGCAAAAACAAAATTTGAAATCAGATTATCGTTCGAATAAGTAAATCGAAACAAAGAAAAAAAAAAGAAACAAAGCTGTACAAGAAGAGCACATAAATGAGATACATCTTCGTCCTAGTTTTCAAAAATTAGCATCACAAAACTTGATATGAGAAAAGAAAGAAATAAAGTCAAATTCACAAACAAACCAAATTGTCTAATCGCTATATGTACATGTTTTTTCATTGTATATTATATTTCGAAATAAGGAATGTTGTAATGCTGACCAGCAGCATTCAATCAAGCAATGAGAATATTTTACTGTTCACAGAAGCAACAAAGGACGGATAATCACAACTGTCAGTAGAAGATCATTATTCATTCACAGTAGAAAAGAAAAATATACAAGTTCGTTACATTTTCTTTTCTATTTGCCACCGCTACCACCAAATAATCTTCGTTCTTTTAATTTCGTCATACTCGATGAACGTAATCGATTTCCGCTATGAACTGAATGCTGAAAGGATGTTGTTTGTTGAGCTAAAAGTCGTTCACGAATTCGATCGAGATCAGCATGTTTAAGCTCTTTCAATTTTGCTTTCAAATGATCACGATCTTTACTTGATTTTATACCCATTGCCTGTCAACAAGTCAATAGTGTAAATCAAAATCATGGAGACGATTATTTATTTTCCTACCTTCATTTTTGTACTATCAAGTAATAAAAGTTTTTCTCCATCAATATTACGACTGAGAAATATTGGAATGAAGGATGTCATTTCGTGAGCAGTCAACCATTGAATACACTGATCCGATGTCCAATCTTTTACTTCAACGAACTTTAAAATGAAAACAATAAATAAAATATTCATATATTCCTTTGCTTCACTTTTTAGTTTTACCTCATCAGCATCAGTGTTATTATTTTTGTTATTTGTTGAAGGTTCTAAATTTAGAATAAATTAATATCGATCATAGCATAGTTTATGTGAATCCAAAAGGAAACCTTTTTTGTTCAATCTTCTGCTCCGTCCAGAGTCCTACAAATATAGACGGCTAACGAGAGTTGAACATCACCTGACGTAAAACTTTATGATTGAAACTAATTGAGAATCTAGTATCGTTATTTATTTTTATACTTAGCTACCCATATTTTAGTGTTAAGATTAAAATTATGATTGATATTTATGTAAATCTATCAGTACAGCTGAGACTTCGAGACAATAATACAATCTACTATCTATGTCATCATGCTTGTTAATTTGATTTTTTATTTCGTTGATTCAAAATTAAAATAGACGAGACGTGAAATTATGTATTCAAAGACTAAAATTATGTTTTTGAAAATTTGTCGTCATGTTCTCATTTGTTTCATTTTTTATTAAAAACAAATAATCTTAATAATTAAACACTGACGAAAAACACATCAAAAGTAATTGTAATCTAAAAACAAACTAGTTCATTAGTATAGATATCTGAATTACTAGATTTAGTATGTTTTTCGCATCTGGTCAATGTCACTAATCTAATGGAGATCTACAAGAGATTATGATAACTCGGTTCCCTTTTCAAACATGACAATGAATGTTAATGCGTATTTGATAGGGGTGAAAACAAACTTTTTAATTTTTTTGGATCAAGTCTAAACATTGCATAAATATCGTGGAAACAATTAATTGCATATATTTTCAAGAATTTTATAAAACTACTAATTTAAACACTTTTTGTGTTCACTGACAGAACTACACAATTTGGCAGTCTATTATCTGAATACTATAAAAATTCTATCTTAAATGAATCTATATTCAATTGTCTTAAGACAAAGAAAAAGTTTCCATTAAGTTTTGCTTCAATTAATAAATATCCTGATCGGTGTTGCTTGCAGATATATAAAAAGTTCAGTGTTAAGCATAATTTTTTGTGAAATTTGTTAGAGAATAATTATTTCTATCACACTGGATATGCCAACGTCTCTTATATGAATAAATGAATGCACGCGTATCATCTCCGCATCAAAAGAATGTGAGAAAAATCTACTTGTGAAACGACGATTGCTCCTCCTACTGATACTTTCTTTTTGAGCTCATATTTTATTTATAAAGGAGACATATTTTAGAGGAAAAATCTTAAAAGCGTTATTAATCTTAGATCATTCTTTTCATCTTATTACACTATATGGCTCAAAAATATAAAAAAGGAATTTTCACTTGAGGTTATCCTCACAATGATGAATATCACGACTTTTATGATATCGTGAATATTTCAATTCAAATCGATAGTTTTCTGTTAAATTATGTAACATTCAAAATGAAAGACAATTATTAATTTGAGTTGAAAGTTTCTTCACATATTAAATACACTAAAAATACTGGAAATTCAACGAAATCGTGATATTCCATGAAAACCCAAGAAAACGACCTTTTCAAAGGTTTCTCACTATAATGTAACTCCTACCTATGATCAAACTATGAAATACAAAAAGAAGGAGAGAGTAATTCAAAGGATTCTTTCGTTAAAACGTCAATAACTCATTATTCTTACGCTTCTTAATTCGATAGAGACTTGAATAAATCCATAAGCTCGCTCACTGTAATATAATTCAATGAATGTCTTCTACAAGCCTCATTCGCTTTAATAGAATAGAAAAAGTCGATCATACTTATTATTGTTTGCTCGATCGATGGAACTTTTGAAATTAAATTTTTATTATCTGTATCATTATCATCACGATTAGAACCTTCATCGAGTAATGGATTTGATAAACGTTTTGATGGTAAATTTCTTGGGCGTGCTTTAGCGATGTGACTTTTATCCATTTGTATACTATGATTGAGTAGTGGACTACGATCAACTTCAAAATCAGATTGATTAGTCATTCTGTTATTGATATTAATAGTAGTCGTGTTTGAGATTTTTTCAAATGATGTTGCTGGTAATCGTATTGATGACGTTGCAGGTGTATTTCGACTTGGTGGACGCTCAGGAGAAAGAACGTGTTGACCAGAACTTGTACGCGATCGAATCGGTATACGTTCAGGTATATCTGGTGGACGTAATACAACACATTCAGAACTTGTACTTGGTAATTTGGTACTACGTGTTAGAAGTGAAGAATTTTCTATGACTTGTTCAGAATTTGATACTGAATTAGTCATCGTTTTTTCAAGTTCTTCAATCTAGAACAAAAAACAATCTCTTATTATAACTAAATACGAAGAACAATAAGCAATACAAACTTTTTTAATTAATTCTAAAATTCGTTTTTGTTGTTGTTCATTTTTTTCCAATTGTTGAGATTGTTGCTCTCGTGATTCAATTTCACTAAAATAAAGACAGTGAATGAGGAATGAATGATTTCTTCTACATGAACATCAGAACATAGTTCTTTTGTATAGCCCCAAAATTCTTCTTATTCACTGAACAAAAAACGCAAAAAATAAGCAGTACAAACATATATGATTTTCTGATTTTCACCTTCACCTAATTTACGTACATAAAATTTGATTCTTTTATTCAAAAGTTAAAAGAAAATGTACACAAAAGGTGATTCGTTCAAAGAAAAAACCCTCTTTTCTACATACCGATCTTGTAATTCTTTGATTAATTTTTTAGCTTTTAAATATTTTTCTTCAATATGTTCAAAATCTTTTTTAGTTTGTTCATAATTTTTCTAGAAAAAAAAAGAATAAAACTTTTGATAATTTCAATTAAGTGATAAGACATAAAAACAAACTTGAAAATATTCTTTTTCTTTTTCAGCATTTGCTAGAGATTTTTCTAATGATTCATAACGTTGTTTAAGTATTTCAAATTCATACACCTTTTGAGATTGTTCATTAGATTGCTTCTCGGTCATGGCCCATATTTGCTAAAAAAACAAAAAATAATTAGTTTTGAAAATAGCAAACTAAAATAGCTGTGTATAATTTTAAAATACTTCATAATTCTTTTCATGTGCTTTAGCTAATTCATGATGATGATTTGTTTGTATATCATTATTATTATCATTATTATCATCATCAAATTTGGTATGATCAGTATTATCATTGAATTCAAAATTCGAAAAACCATCATCCTGTAAATGTTGATCATTATACGCATCATGATGATGCTGTAGTGCTCGTGACATTTCATTACGTTCTTGATCCATTTGTAATGACTGTTGAATAAGACGAAGGATTTCAGAATTTTCAACATCTTTTTCACGACCAATTACAAATCTTAAAATTTTTTGTTTAATTAGAAATTGATAAAAGACAACGTTTAATTAATGTGCAACTTACCTAACTGAACCTGATGTTGCTTTAAGTACATTTGTTGCATAGGTATGTGTTACACCAACAAGTGAATGATCATCAACTTCAATGATTTGATCGCCTATTTGTATTCTAAAATAGAACGAAGTGAAAATTTATCAAGCTATGGTTTCAGATCTGTTCAATGATATTCTAGAGTGACATTTTATGATTGGCATAACCAGGCGGAAACTTCCACTTCTACATTGATCAACAGGGTTGAGTTCCGTTCAGGACCCCCTACAATTTTTCTCTGATTACGCCACTACACCAAACGATGAATGTCATGATTTCTATTATCCACTCTGAATCAAGAACTATAATAGACCTAAATGTCTATCATGCTTTCTACAGTCAAAAAATCCTATAATAATATTACATGAACATATAATTTATTTAGAACTCTTACAGTAATCTCTATCACTTTGATAACAGTTTAGTTTTGATTCATGTGTTTAAGAAGATACTAGAGATTAAGTTAAACTATTTCACAATTATATTCGTAAATAATATATGAAGATTACTTGATAGTTATGGTATATTCTTGTCGAAACTCATGTTTGTAAGAAGAATTCTGAAGTTTTTAGGTCGAGTTTTTTTTTCTTTGAATTCGCATAGAATATTTAAATTTGGAAAATCTTTCAAGTTTCAGCATCGATTGAGACTTATATTTGAAGAAAAATAAAAATTATTGTGACCTACCGTCCATCTTGGGCAATAACACCTTGAGGATTAAGAGATTTAACAAAAATACCCAATTTTTCTAAGCCACTATCAGCACCTACGCCCATTCCCAAAACACTAAAAAATAAGTATTAAATTTCGATCTTTAATACTATATAATAATATACCTGATACCAAGACCATCGGTTCCTATAAAACATACAAAAATGATTAGGAAAATACTATTCGCTATTGAAATAAGAGACAAATACCTTTTTCAATTTCAACATTAAAAACATGCATTTTTTCAATGCGTTTTTCTAATTCATATTCAGCTGATGCTGAAAATGGATCAATATCATCATTTCGTCGATTATATTCACTTGGTGAATACGTTGGATATACCTAAAACAATTATCAATAATCTCATTTTTCCTCAAAAAAAAAAAAATCTTACTCGAATTGGTGCATTACTAAATTTAACTCGTCTAGTACCATTCGGTGACAATACTAAATCATCATTATCATTATCATTCATTTCTGGTATGCCCGGCTTTTCATAAAAGATCGGCGATGACGACGTACTATCTTCATTAACATAATCAACATCTGAATGGATAAAAATTAAATAAACAATTAATCAAAAAGAAAAATCTTGTTGTTTACTATTAAGCATCGGATTTTCAATCCATTTTTGTTCGACTTCTTGTTGTTGATCTGGAATAAAATGATTATTTTCAGGTTTATCTTCAATTCTTATAGGCGATTCTAGTTTATCATTCTCTGAAAATGATAATTTTGGTAATGAACGATCCATTGATGTTGGCTTAATAAATACTGTATTTAGATGATCCATACGTTTAAGAATATTCGATGGTAAAATTGATGCAACAATACGATTCGCTATTTCTTCATTCGATGGTTTTGGTATGTCATGCATTAAATCATGTTCATCACGTTGATGTTTTTTTAATTGTTCAATGGCATCAGCTGGAAAATCATAATGTTGATCTGAATTTATTTGCTTTCGATTCACTGTAGCATAATGTACATCATCGTTTGAAACGAACGGAATCGGTGATTGTTGTTGTTGTTGTTCGTGCTGATATTGTGGCATTGTTGTTGATACTGGTACAGTTCGATGAATTGGAATTGACGTTATTGATCGATCAGAGTGTGTAGGAGAAGGTAAAGATGATGTACCAATAAATTGTACTGGTATATCACGAATGCGATTAGAATTTGAATCATGACTTTTCGGTGAATATTCAATATGATGATGATTTTGTTGTTGTTGTTGTTGTCTATGATCAATAATAAGATCAGGAATATGTTCTGTATTTAGTTTTGAAATATCTATTTTTTGTTTATCAATCATAAAATCTGGTTGATATAGATCATCATTGAATGGTTCATTTTGCTTTGTTGCTACTGTTGTTGTTGTTGTTGTTGTTAATGAAATTGTTGTACGTGCTGCTTCTTCTTCTAATGTTTGAAACATTTCTCTTGCTTTACGAAAACGTACTGTATGATCTTCATTTGCATTACTTTTTGTTGGTGGATTTTCGGTCATTGCTAAGGATGATATACCATTACGCATTGAATTCATATTTGATTTATTATTGTCCAGTACCCGTGGATTAGATAAACTTCTACTACGCTCAATAATTGTGGATGATGATGTTGTTGCTAATGGTAATAGTTGTGTTGGTGGTGATACAGAAATTTCATCAGCACCGTCGCCTAAACCACGTGTTGGTGAACTAAGACCTTCATGATGATTGCCGTAACGAGATCGATGTTCGCCAGATTTTAAATCATTCAATGTTAATGCATACTGATTAAATACACTACGTAATCGACTTACATGACCAATATATTTATTTGTAGCATTCGGATGGTTACTGCTGTTGTTATTATTGTTATTTGGTGATGTACGACTGTGATGAATTGCAGTATTATTATTAGAATCTGCCGTTGGCGAATCAACGATAAGATTTGATGCTGATTCAGTATGGGTAAAAAGAGACGGGACAGCTGGTTGGATGAGGATGTCCGCCATTTGTTCTTTTCTCTTTCTGTTATCGTAATTTTCTCTGCTTTTGTTGCTTTCTTATATTATATATATATATATCGGTTGCTAATGTTTGCCGCCTGTCGTAGTATTCCTCGTTAAGTTACTAACAACCGTCCCACCTATCAATCAATAATAGTAGAGTTTTATTCTTTGTTCTGGAAGATATTGATGCCAATAACAGTCGATGATAGCTAACCGATGCATTATAATCAACAAGTACAAGGCACGAGTGAGTTTTAAAAAAAATGAGTCAAAGAGAAAATGAATATCTAAATATAAGAAAAAGATCAATATGTAAAAAGAAATTTCTTTTCTGATTACTATCGTAGAAAAAAAAGGTCAATTGTGAAAGAAGAAAAGATGTTTATCGGAAGATAAATGAGGCCAACTATTGACATTCTATCCTATCACATACTAAAAAAATATAAACGAGAAAGAATACCGACCACTGGACTAGTCTCTTTTGTATATTTACAATAGAGGGACAAAAGAAATGAATGAACAAATGTCCAAGGACAACAAAAGACAATGATCAGATCAAGAAAAAAAACCAATCATATTCATGCTCTTTAAGACAATTAAAAGGAATGAAAAAGAATAAAGTGATATCCATTACATTGTTGATGTATTACAGATTATACGTTCATTTCAAAGTCAAATAACAAAAAAAAAGGTCGAGATGGACGGACATCGATCTGACAATAATTGATTTGATCGATCTAATCGCCGTCAGCGACGGGCAATAGCCAGTAGAGAGAAAATAAGAAAAAAATAAACATGATTGCTAATTTGTCCAACGAGGACGCCAATCATCCAAGTTTCTTATTTATTGATCAGTGTCAGACTCATACGCCCTCTATCAGTAGCGTCAATCATATGCCGACTTTTTGACGATAATCTTTTTTTTTCTGTTGAGTAACCATGATTCAATACTAGTCAGAGATAAGTGTCTTTTTTGTGTAAGAAAAAAGAACAGAAATAAAGTAAACTATTTGCCAACCAAGACCAAAACAATTAGACTTTGAATATAGACGATGTAATTTTCTGACTTTTATCGGATAGGGACACTTTCTTTTAATTGTCCTCGTCCTTTGAGTACCATCATGTAAGAAAATATTTTCTCTTTATTCTTATCTTCAGTATCAGTAAGATTCATAGTTTCTATTTATAGGTTATGTTTAAACGTAGCGTCCAATCTAATTATCTATTACAAGGTCGTCAGATTTATTTTTAGTGTTATCTATAGTTAGCAACGAATAGTCGATCTAATAAAATCTAGCAAGTATTTTTAAACTTGATTATCATCATTAAAATACATCATGTTCTGAGCTTTTCTCGGTCCACTGAAAATAGTACGAGTAGAGAAGAAAATCGTATATAATAAAGAACTATAAATGTCACGCGACCATATTGCGCCGATGTTACTGTTCCTAAAAAAAAGTTCGTCATCCATGTTGCCATTGGAGAATTCTTTAGGTGTTGCAGCCAAAAAAAACAAGACAAAAATAAAACAATGAGAAGAATATGAATTTGATTATATCTCCTCTGTATTGTATTTGTGTATCTTCAACGGGTTCGAATTATCAGCAACGTAAATGACGAAAACGTGAAAAAAGCTACATTACAACATAACTCATATTGGCTACTATTTTTAGCTTTGCCTATTTTTTCCTTGCTTTGTTTTTTTTCTCTTTTCTTTTTCTCCTCCACTCAGTGCATACGCGTATTTGCGTCAGGATATGACAGAAGGTCGTTGTTGATGCTTATTTCTAGGTCTATTTTTTCTTTGTTTTGCGATAGACTTCTTTCACATTGGTCTTCTCGACGCTATATTTATAAGTAAACTATTAGTTGATGACAGATTTTGTTGAAATGAAGATTCATTCATGGTAAGCATATTTATATTTTTTATATCTATCTTGACCATCAATCCTAAGAGAATATCCTTCCATAAATGTTACTGCTAATATTTGCACAAGATTAAATATATTCATATAATAGTTCAAGGAATATTTCATGTATTGCATTGATTTATTCGAATTTTATTCTCAACCGATTACAATATTTTATACATTGATATATAAAAACATAAGATTATAATAGTAAATAATGAGAGTTTCGAGTACATCGGCAATTATCGCTCTAGGGCAAGGCATAATATTCTGTAGTTGACAAAAATAGCACAAAAAATAGAATGCTTGATGAATGTTTATTGAAAAGCGGAAAAAATAATACATCGTGTCGTTGTGAACTTCTTTAATAATAATATGAAGAAAAAGAAGAAGAAGAAAAAACGAAAGAAAGAAAAGTTTGACAGAAGATAATAGTCAATGCATTGTTCTACAAAAGAAATGATGAAACAAACAAAAATAGATATCTTATGTAATCTACACCTTTGCGAATCATTTATTATATCGATAAATAGTACTATAGACGATAAAGCAGATGGCTACAACACCAACAAGACTAGATTCTACACGATCAATACATAAGCAAAAAAAACGACAGGTTAGTTTTCATTGTTCGAGAAATGTTGTAGTAGTTTAAAAAAAGAACCAAAATTAATACTTGAAAACTTTTTTTTCTTCTTTTGAACGAATGCCTAACAGTTGGCGATTATTTTTTCTCTCCTTCCAGTCTTCCTGTTCGTGCAGAATTTTGTCCTCTTGTGATTATTATTATTTTTACTGAGGCATTCATTTATTCATTCTGTTCGTCTTTTCTCATTTTCTTTTCTTTCTCTATTCATTTATAATAATAAAAAACCGACAAGAAAAAAAAAGTATATTTATATATAAATATATACGTGTTGTTTTTGCATTTCATTTACAAGGAAAAGATATGACCTAAGCAATATGTGTACTTCTTTTTAGAATAGAATAGATTTCGGCATACCATGTTAAACATAAATTTATGCATGCATGAGGAATATCGTCAAGCAGAAAAAGCTTTTATTATTATTATTAAACTTCTCCTTAAAAATTGTTGCTTGTTGTTGTTGACGAACACGATTGTATGCACCTGAAAGAAAGAGCTGTCATCGCAACTTGAAAGAAGGGGAGGGACCGAGTAATGTACTGCCATGCATATTTTCGTCATTTTTTTTGCATTCGACCAATAGTATTAGAGGTGCCGTTGGAAGAACACGATCAATTCAAGTAGAGTAATGCGTGTGACATAAGTAAATCACAGTTACTATTAGATGGTTGCAATAGCTTCTTTTGTTTGAATTTTTCACGTGCGTATTTAATGATAATAATAATAATAAAAAAAGCCAAACCATTCTTGATTAAGCTAACTAGAACATAGTTGCTGTGTCTGTTTATCGATGTTAGTCATTGCGAGAGAATACTAAGAATAAACTATGGCATTATTTCAGTGCCTTATGTCAAAAAAAAACATTATCTACTCATTGTAATAACTCATAATTAATCAAAAGTAATAGATAAACAGTAGTTTTCATTATTCTTTATTATAAGTTATTTATATCTAAACGACTTTTACTAACCTCATTTATATATAGCATGTCTTTTTGTCATGCTTCAGCTTTTTATCTGTTTTTTTTTCTTCTCCTCAAGTTTTTATTTTATTCGTCTGATAGAAAAATGAGATAGCCAAAGACAAGTAGAACGAAGAAGAAAAGAAAAATAAGTACTTCAACTAAAGTCAACTGACATACATAGATGCATTAGAGTAAGAGCAGCATCTGTAAAAGAATGGTTCATTTTTTTCCCTATTTTCTTTTTAAATACTCTTCTAATATAAACCACAATTCTTGTTTTTCTTTCAATGGGATTTTATTGTTTTCTAGAGAAATATTTTATCAACAGAAGAATCTTTCATGGTTGATCTTTGTCGACCGTCGTCCTTACCGGCCAATAACTCACGGAGTTCACCTAACAGTACTAATGATACAAATAGTGGAAGTTCAACTTTCTTCCCATCATTATTCGTATGTATAAATTAAATTATTAACAGAAAAAGAAAAACGTCAAATATTATATTTATTCATCTATTTTAGCTTCCTTATTCGCAACTGATTGACCCTGATAGACAAGGATCGGTTACAGCGGCTATAGCAGCTGCTACAGCTGCTGCTGTCATGGCATCATCAACTCTGGAGCGAACACGTCTTGAAGAAGAAAAATTACGTGTTCATGCTAAAGATAAGAAAGATCAAAGTAAATTTTAATATTTCTTCTTAAAAAAGATTCGACAACATATTTGTATTTATATCTTTGTAAGGTGCAAATGCTTCTGCTGAGGTTAAAACTCATTTGAAAACTTTTCTTTGCCGAAAATTACAAAAAGAAGGCAAATTAGGGTAAATTAAAAATTTGATTTTTTAAACATAAATTAAACTATTATTTTGGAATCATCATATAGAAATGAAGAATCAATGGATATGTTGAGACGATTTCAATCAGAACCTGTACTTGCTAACCTACGTCTAGAATCAGGCAATTTAAAAATCAAATCTGATTTACGTCAAAGTATTATTAATCGCCATCGGCATGTTACACCAATGTCAGATACCCGTCATCCAATACGCTCAACAAATCTAGCTGAAAAACAGAAACATGCTAGTATGTATCAAATAAACATCTAAGAAATACTATAATTACAAAAACAAAAGTGAGAAACTAGTAGATTTTCATTAATATTCTACGAAGGCTATTTTTAGTAAAGAAACAAAAGAAAGATAGGTCTTTTTTTGAAACAAATTTTTTTCTAAAAAATACGACACAAATCCTTTACTCTTGATGAAAACTATAATTTTTGGGTAAACTTATTTCTACTCAATTATCATCTTTACTTTCAAGAGTAAGATACTAGATAGAATCTATTTTCATTATTATCAGCCCTACCTATTCCAATGCTGTCATTTGATTCTCAAACTGGTCAAATACTTGCTCCGGAACAATTGTGGTTTGATTTAAATGATTTACAACAAAAACTATATAGTTGCTATTCAACAGGTAAATGAATTATGCGTACACACGAAAATATTTTATTAAAAATTGTGTAGGTTCTATAAGTGGAACTAATCTTAGTCAACAAAATCACTTGAATATTATACATGGCAATCAAAATCGTACAAATATTCTTGGCCCAAAACATTTTATAGTCGAAGAAGAAAATGAAGCATTATTAGCAAAAGAATTACAGGAAGCAAAAATTCAAAGTCCCTTCAATAGCCATAGTTCCATGCATAGTAGTCAACCACACATATTCAATTTAGAATCCAGTGATTTTACGGCTAAAAATTCAAATGTAATAAGAGAGAATAAACAGAATTGTGATTTATAAAGGAAAACTGTTTTTCTCTCTCTCTCTCTCTCTTATAGTTACCATCGGATCGTTTAGTGTTGCATTCCAAATCATTATCATCTTTATCAGCGTTAGCATCAACAACAGATAATAAATTACAAAAAAGTCAGTCCGGTACTATACGACTGCGTTTTACTACTGGTAAGATTAGCCGTTTTATTTTCCTCCAATGAATTTATTTATTTCCTTTTTAATTGAAAATAAAAAGGAATTGTTTACGATGAAGATTCATTAAAACATGAATGTTATTGTAAACGCACAGATCTTCATCTTGAAAATCCTCGTCGTTTACTTGTAATTTATGAACTATTGAAAAAATGTAATTTACTAGAAGATTGTGAAATAATTCGTAATTATTGCGCAACAATTGATATATTAACTAATTGTCATCAGTGAGTTGGAAGAAAATAATTTTTGAAAAAGATATATGCACTCTAATTTTTTTTCATAGTCCTAATCATGTATATCTATTTGGTTGTGATCAACGACAACGTACACAACAATCGGCCATGCTGTTAACACAACGACTGAATTCCATTGTACAATTACCATGTGGTGGTTTTGGCATTCATGATGATACCGATACTGTATGGAATGAACTATATACAGCACGTGCATGTCGTTTAGCTATTGGCAATACTATCGAATTATCAAAACTTGTCTTTGATGGAACATTAAAAAATGGTTTCGCTCTCGTAAGACCACCAGGTCATCATGCAAGAGAAAAACCATTAGGATTTTGTTATTTCAATACTGTTGCTATTACAGCGAAATATTTGAAAAAACATCGAAATATTGAACGTATTGCTATTGTTGATTGGGATATACATCATGGAAATGGTACACAAGATTTAACCTATGATGATCCTAATATTCTTTATATATCGTTGCATCGTTACGATAATGGAACATATTTTCCTGGTGGCGGACGAATTGAAGAAGTTCGTTGAAATAATAAATAGAAGAAAAGAACAACTTGCAAAAGATAATTTGTTTTCTTCTCTTCTCTATTTTCAGTGTGGATGTGATAATGGTCTGGGTAAAAATGTGAATGTTGGTTTCTCTGCTGAACCACAAACCATTATGACTGATGTAGAATATTTAGCAGCATTTAGGTAATTCGATTGTAGTGACCAAAAATTGATAAAAAACAAACAAACTACGTATGACTCTTGTTTTCAGGAGTATTGTTATGCCCATATTAGAACAATTTCAACCACAACTTATTCTTGTTTCAAGTGGTTTCGATGCATGCATGGGACATCCACATCCACTTGGTGGTTATGAACTAACACCAACATGTAATACAAATAAAAACAGAATGTTTTCCTCTATTAAATGTTTTCTTTTTCTTTTTGTTCTCTCTTAGGTTTTGCTTATATGACAAATCAATTGATGAAGCTTGCTGATGGAAAAGTTGTTTTAGTTTTAGAAGGTGGTTATGAATTAAATGCATTGGCACAATGCGGAAAAGCATGCGTTGAAGCTTTACTTAGCCGAGAAGTAAGACTTTTCTTTTCTCACGTAGATTTCTAAATTATTTCAATACTTTTCTATTGCATTTAGTTGCCATCATTTAGTAAAGAAACTCTCGAAGCTAAACCAAATCCATATGCAGTACATAGTTTACAGCATGTCATGGAAGTACAGCGTATGTATTTAGATAGTCTAAAAAAATAGACTAAAGTTTCATCTTTGTTATGTTCTTTTTTAAGGTGAATTTTGGCCATCAATTGCACAATATAAACATTTGATTTCCGTGTCTCATGAACAAGCCATTTCTTCGTGATTTGATATTATTTCATCGTTAGTACATGCTGCACAAGATTTCATCATGATAATGTTGCTGCTGCTAGTGATGATGATTTTGTAAAAAAAAATATTTTTTCTTCTTATGTTCTATTTACGCGTTTTGTCAATTATCTCATGATGTTTTCACCGGTAAACATATGACCTATATATTATTTTCTCGTATATTTTGTCGGCTGATTTGTTTCTACCTGTGTATATCTAAAAACAATTCTTCAGTGACTGCTAAGCAGCTTCTTAATTATTTTAATTTTTCTTTTAAAAATATTCACAACAAAAAAGACTCCTGAAGAAGAACAGCCAAATTATCATCATCTTCCTTTCAACTATCATTTGGTTTTTATTTTCAAGCTGATATATATACATATATTTTCTGTGTCCTTTTCTCTCTTTTAACGTTCTCAGTGTCGCTCAATTTTCATTTTGTAAATCATGTAATTGTGTCTTTTGCACGTGCATATGCTTCCACAATTACAATTGAATAATGAAATAAAAATAAACAAAATGAAATTCTTAAAGATTATTGCCACGACGTTTACTCTTTTTTCATGAGTCTTTGTCAATGAGCACAATCAATAGTATCGTACCTTTACAAAGATATTTGTGTAAAGTAATATAAATTGTCGTTCTTTTACTGTAGAGTATTGACTATGTAAATAATAGTAGTTTTTCTCTATATTGATAGTTTAAAAATAGAGCAATAGAATATTATAGTATGCTGCTTCAACGACTAATGTTTGTTTTTCTTTAAGAATTTCCCATAAAACCATTATTATTATTATTATTATTGTTATTATTAACTTATTTTTAGTGAATTTTAATGTAAAGAAAACTAAAACATTAAGTCTACACATTGAATCATTTGTGTACTATGAATTGCCGCTGTGCATATTTTTTATAATTTCAAAAGAAACAAAGTGCTAAAGAAGTTTGAAAAATTCTATTGAAGAAAATTGAAAACAGATACTTCCTATTCCGATGTATTCTTTTCATTTCAAACTAGTGTTATGTGAAACTCGTTGTATTGAATTGAAGATGCTGTATTTTAAGGGATTCCTTCAAAATAGTAATCTTTCCTGAAAAAGACTATTTTCAGCCTTATGAAAGATCATCTCTCAATTATTTTACAAGTTTTGCAGCTGGAACTTTGATTAATATAATTGTTTCTTCGACTTCTGTTCAACTTTCCAATGTTTTTGTTGTTGAAATTCAATCAATGCTTAAGATGCAAATGGTATTAATTTAAAAAAAGAACACTCAGATCTTCTATATAATGGTCAAAAATATTTTATGTAACATATAATTGAATCGATGTTATTAATTAAAATTTATTTTTGTCTTATTTCTATTAATCATGAAAGAGTAATGTTAATGTACTTAGTTTGATCTAATTGATCATTGTTTTTTTCTACATGAAAGGATAGAAAAAGTTTCTTTATTCTCTACTCTGCTAGCATAAAAATAGATGAAGAGTAATACACATAGGATTGCTAACGATAGTATCTTATTACCGTTCAATACTCTTGTTTAAGATATGTCTATATACTTATTTAATGTTTATCGACTCAGTTATGCAACAAATCGTACTCAACTACATAATGTGTTCTACTTTTCTTTTTGCTATGTTCTCTTTTTCACCCGGAAATGTCGTTTTTTTAAGTATGATGCAGAAACACATTAGAAAAACAGTTTCCAAGGAAAGCCACAAGTTTTTTGCTCATCGATAAATAGTTATCAAGTATTGTGTTGTTTTAAAACATAGATGTATTTGTTACTTTCTAAAATAACAAAACCGATATGATATCTTATGATTCAAAAGTTAATCGAGAACTTTTTCTATAATAGGTATAAGAGTAATTAAAATTAATAAACTTCATTATGCTTGGATAAATTCGCCAGAATAAACATTAATTATGAGCATAATTACAAATTGTGTCTATTATTTAAATGAAACGCTTTAATAAACCTTTGAATCAGATTCTTTTTAATTAAGTTTATTGTACATAATTATGTATTTTGTGGAACTCACATATATTTTCGAAGAAAATAGTGAGTGTAAGTTTAATTGTGAGATTTTTGTGGCTCCCCTGTACCCCACCCCCCCCCTCCCCATTACAGACACAAAACATGAAAAAACTAACACTTCGATGCACTAATTAGATAAAATTTTTGTACAGATCGATTCCCTATGTTCACCACTACTCACATCACTAATAAAAATCTAGTTTCACTAATTAGAAAT